ATTCTATCAACAACCACTACCACCTTGGGGTAAGAGTTGTTGATAAAAAAAACAATTTTAAATTTTTTTGTTATATTAATTTATTAAAATTTATGGGGCGCCAATCCAATTGACGGATTAAAACTAAAAGATGGGGCGCCAATCAAAACAGTGCCAAAACAGATTAGTTTTTGTAATATTTGAATATTTTAAACATGAGTTTTTTCTTTTAAATATTTTATTTATTCTTAAAAATTTTGCTTTATAGAAGTAAAAACCTTTTTATCTTAAATTTTATTTAATGTTAAGATTTTTTTATCAGATATATAACTTAATAATATAACATGGCTCAAATAACGGCCCAGGGTCCTAAACTTTAAATAAATTAAAGTAATTAATATTTGACTCAATCAAAAAATACTAAAATTAATTAAACTTTTTAAAAGCACGTTAATAGTATTCAATACATACCATCAACCATTTTTTAAAACCAGTAACTCAACTAAATCTGCTAGATGCATCTCATTTATGTTCTTTGGTTTAGTAATTATACATGATACTTGAGATTGTTTAAAATAAAATTTTTTTAAATTTCACTTTCTTTATAGAACTTTTTTATTATTGTATTAATCCTTTCCATTGATACTTAGGACACTTTCAATTTTTTACCATCTTTAAATTCGATTTCCATATAGGCTTATACTTCCCATAAGATTTTAAAATTTCAACATTCTTGTTTTTACATATATGAATAACATTTTTTATTCTTTTTTAATTATATGTAAAAATTTTGCTTCCAATTTCTACACTATAGGATTAATAAAATATTAATAAATTCTTGTAAATTTTTATAAATTTTTTGATGATTCAAATGAATAGGTTAAGATTATTTTTAATTAAAAAATATATGATGTTGATGAAGCTCTATTAATTTTATTACTAAGAAATAAATATTACTATCCGAACATATCATTAGCATTAGATTTATTTAATTTAGGACTAGATTTACAATTAAATACAAAGTTTAGATTTTTAAAAAGAACAATATTAGAAGTATTAGAAATTATATGTGTAAATTCAACAATACCCAAATCATTTTTGATTGATAAATTGATAATATTTCTGACATACATAGGTAGAAAAATTAATTATTATGATATTGCAGATTATACAATTCAAGATCAAAAACATTTTATGATATTCATTTTTGGTAGAGTTAATTTTAAAAGTAAAAAATGATTATATCAAGTTGCCTAATTCAGATGAATTTAAAATATTATCAGAAAAATTTTTAAAACATTTATAACTAAAAAATACTATTTTAGTAGTAGATGGCACACGTGTAAAAATTAAAAACTAGATAATTCTAATGGAAAGTATATTAACAAAAAAAGAATCAAGTTTAAATTTTATGGTAGCAAGAGATTTAGACTTCGAAATTAGATGAATACTAAATGGTTCATATGTGTCAAGTCATTATGTGTGTATGTTTTCGTTATCAAATCTTGAAATTTTTGTAAAAAATAATCTTAAAATTTATTACAACAATAACTTAAATTTGCATGGTTATCAACAATATCATATCTTAAGGGACAGTGTTTACTCAGGCAGAGAATATATGAAAACAGTTATTAAAGGAGAATTGTCAATTGATGATCAAGAATGGAATGATATGTTAATATAACAAAGACAAGTTGTTGAAAGAATATTTAGATTTTAAGGAAAAATTTCAGAGATTTAGAGATGAAATTGATAACTTAGTTTTAGTTTAAAAACTATTTTTTCCTGGGTAATTATATTTAATATAACTGCCATGGTTTGGGTGAGCAGTGTTGTATTGTAAATAATTATTGTATAAAGAGAGTCGTTTAAAAGAAAGATTATTGTTAATCATGTCTTTATTTATGTTTAATTGTTTTTATGTTTAATATGAAACAAATCACAAACAGTTTCGTGTGTATTTGTTGAGGATGTAACAATAACTATTAAAAAAAGAATATCTGTAGAGAATTCTTTTGATTAGCGCATCATAAAATTTTATTAAATAAAAATTTTTTATCAAATTCTTTTAAAAATTTTAAATCCTTAATTCAGTATAATGGGTTATTGGAAGCTATTTTAGAAGACAGTGTTTTTTTGAGTTTTCTAAAGTCAATCGGTGCCATGAAACCCATGGTCGAAAGGCAGTTGTGATTTTGTGAAAGCAAAGGACACCCTGTAAGAATTAGAAAGAGTATTGACACTCACTTCTTTCTCCGGTGCAAGTCATGCCGTAAAGAGTAAAGTCTCTTTGCAAATACCTTCTTTTGTTATGGAGAAGGAAAAACACGACTTCTAACATCAGTTCAGAAGTTAGTAAATCTTATCTTTTTTATTTTAGGGAGAGAACGGTATCATACATAATGACCGGGATCCAAATTAAAGGAATTGATACAGTGACCAACTGGACTAATCACATCTGATTGGAAACTCATACTTATATTATGAGTGAAAAATTAGGAGGACCGGAGAAAGTTATACAAATAGATGAATCTCTTTTTAGCGGAGTCGAAAGTACAACCAAGGAAGTCTTTTTCTTAATAATTTTATGAGGTGTAATGGAGTTAACAATCGTACCAACAACTTTGGAAACAGAATTGGCTTACCATGAGTTTTTGGAATGGTAGAACAAGACTCAAGAAAGGTTAAAATATTTCTTGTAGAGAAACGAGACATGACACTTTGTTTCCACTGTTGCTTGAACTTTGTGGATAAGCAAAGTATCATTACATGGATGGGTAGAAAGTATACCATGGTTTAAGTTATTTTTTTATAGCTACAATGTGGTAAATCATAGTTAGAATTTTATAGACCCATCAAATAGGTGTCATTCCTAATTGATTGGGTGTATATGGAGCCATGCAAAGCTCAAAATAATAAAAACTAAAAGAGGAACAGCCACTACTCTTTTGCAAAATTATTTGTGTTTTTTTTTGCTTTTGTTACTAACACAAAGGTTCTAAATTTGAAGTATTTATGAAGTTATTAGGAAACAATTATTAATAAATCTTATAGACTTGCTTTTTTTATAATAATTTATGAGGCGCCAATCCAATTGCCGGATTAAAATTAAAAAATGGGGCGCCAATCATAACAGTGCCATCTGTAGAACCAGAAGAAGTTTTAAGAATTATAAAAGGTTATAAAGATAATAAATAAATTTGTTTGTTTTTATCATAAAATACTTTGTAAAAAATAATAATTGATCAAACTTGCTTTCAATTTTATCAATTTTAAAGTTTATTTCTTGATATTTTTGGTTTTTACTTAGTTATTGCTAGTTTGAATTAATGATTCTAAAATTTTTATTTTCGATTTCTACTTTCTCTAAATATTCCATAACAAGTTCTGTTGCGACTTGCTTCTATTTCTTTATATTATTATAATCATCATTAATTACTGTTTCCAAAAAATCATTTTTAAACTTTCTTAGTTGAATCATTACACGAGTCAGAAATTAAATTTGTATACTCTCCTATAACTGAAGGGTTGAAATATTCAAAGAATTTAAATTTAACACTACCTTCACCACTCTTAGAAGCCTGCTTTTTCTTTTCTCTATAAACTTTTAGAAGGTCATTGAATTTTGACTTTACATCTGATGCAGAAAATTCACTACCTAATTCAATAGAAATTTCATATTACAACTTATTAAGTTCGAAAGATCGCCTTTATGCTTTGCAAACTTTTTAGATAATCCGTGTTTTGTCTTAAAGATATCAATCTCTTTGTGAGCTCTTCTGTAAATTTCAATTAAATTGAGGGTCAAAAATATCTTTCAACAAAAAAATTTTATATAAAAAGAAAATGAAACCTAAAATCCTATAAGAAAAATAAAAACTTTAACCGAATATTATTTTTAGAAAAAATCTTGCTCGTTTAATAATTTATTATAAATTTTTAAGTTAATTAAATATATAAAATGATTTAAATTTACTTCAAACACACTCTCATCATAAGATTTTTAAATTTAAAGATTCATAAAAGAAAAACAATTGAAAGTACTATAAATAAAAAGACAATAAAAGAGGTATACCCATTCCCTGATATTAAAGATCGGATTTATGATTTGGGAATACTGAATGGTTTAGTTAAATTGATCTTGATAGAGGATTCTATCAAATTAATATCAGAGAGGAAGATAAATTTAAGAATGATTTTATATCACTAAATGGACATTTCAAATATTACAGACTACCAATGGGTATGGTCAACTCACTAAGGTCATTTCAACGTACAATGGAAGAATTATCGGGGGATTAAAAATTTTGCAAAATATTTGTTGATGATATTCTAATTTTGAGTAAGCATTTTAAAGAACGTTTAATACATATAAGGGAAACATGTAAAATAATAATTAGAAGTTGTGGTAAAATAAATTCTAAAGAGAGTAGATTTGGATTAATAAGGTAACATATTTAGGAAGAAAAATTAGTACAGAAGAAAAAAAAGAGATGATTTGAAGATTATTGAAATTGAGAATAAAAATATAACAACTAAAAGACAATTAAAAAGTTTTCTAGGATTAGTAAATTGGTAAAGAAGGTTTGTTCCAAATGTTAGTATATTAACTGCTAAATTAAATGATAAGTTAAAGAAAGAAATTTTTAATTTTTATATAAATAAATGAAGATGATTAAGAAAAAGACAAATTATTAAAGTAGTTAAAGACCATATAGAATTAAACTATATTTATCCGGAAAACTAATATTATTATAATCAGATGTGTTAAACTTAGAACTTTCTGGAATATTAAGTCAAGAACATGGAATAATAGGTATTTATAGTAGAAAATTAAATTTAACAAGAAGAATTATACTATTCCTAATAAAAAAATATGTGTAATTATTAAAAATGTCAAAAATTTCAAAAAAAAATATGGAAAACGTTTAGGATAGAAACTGATAAGAAAGATTGTATTGAATTGAAAATTTGAGTGAAAACTTACTTTATATGTGGTTAAATTTATCTATAGTTATGATTATAAAATTTATCATGTAAAAGAGAATAAAATTTAATGGTCGATTTAGAATATAGGATTAAATTATTGTTAATAAGAGATGAAGGGATTGATTTATGAAATAAAAATATTTGAAATTTTATTGAAAAGAATAAGTTTTATAGAATTATTATTAGTGATGATATTGAAAATATTTTAAAATAATTACATGTTTTAATGATACATGTTTGTGTATCAAGAATGTAAAATATCTTGAAAAATTTTTATAAAATTAAAAAAATAAAAGAAAGATTTGAATAAATTTTCAAAATTATATTATTTGTTATAAATATAAAAAATAAAAGAGTTGTTTGAAAATTGGATTATTTAAATTGTATATGTATAAGAAAAAATATACTATAAATAAGTGATATTGTTGATCTTTTTGGCTGTCTGGTAAGCGGTAAGCAAGTAAATTTATATGGAATTACACATCATTGATAGATATTCATTAATCAAGTTTATTTTTAAAATTAGAGGAAAAGATATTATAAAAGCTTTAAAAAAATAAATCGATTCAATAGAAGTTTCAAAGATGTTATTTACAGATATCAGAAACGTTTGTATGTCAGTGAAAATTTGAAGAAAGGTTTAGAACAATTAGGAATAGTGTGTAGTTTAAACACAGTATCTAATCTAGAAGAAAATGGAATCTCTAAGTGATTAAATCAAATGGTGAATTTATATTATATGAATTTTAAGATTTGTGTGAATTTGAAAATATTATTGAAATACGTTATGAAAATAATTATAAAAGAATGTTATATGTTTTCTCAATGAGGCTATGTATGAAAAGAACATATTTAATGTGTTAAATAAAGTTGAAGAGGTACCTTTAGATATTTCATTCATTCTAATTGAACAAGCTCATGAGTAAAATGTGTAGAAAAAAATCAAAGTAGATTTAAAAGAATTTTGACTACACTTAAATTATATAAAAAATTATAAATGAATACTCAAATCAATATATTTAATATTAGTCTGGTTTTTATTTTCTACTGTTGTATTTATTATAAAAGAATATGTATTTATTATATTTTACAATAAACATAATGTATATAACTACGAAAAATAATAAAATAGGTTGTTTTCTTTTAATTTAAAACGACAAAAACACTTACAAACAACCTGAAAAAAACGAATCATATATTTTCAGACTTATTTATAAAATATCTTTTACGAATATAAAAAAATTGAAATAAAAAAGTTTATACTAACCAAAGTTGTTATCCTTAATTATATTTAAATCTAAATTAACAAAGGTAATTATAAAAATTATCTAAAAAATCTTTGAAGAAAACTATATCAAAGAAGAATTTTATAAGTTATTAAAAAGATTATATCAAAAAACATGTTTACTTAGAATATTCTAACAATACTCATACAAAAAAGAATGTATTAATTAATTTAAAAATTAAATGATAGAATATAAAAAACTTTACAAACATTTCGACCTCAATAAATAAATTGTTTTATAAGTGATTGAATTATTTACATAATATTGTATCAAAAGTAAATATTATCAGATGCCGTTAACAAAAAGCTTTGTATCTTATATAGTATTTTTAGTTATTAAAGAAATTCATTACAAACTCATTTTATTTGATATTTAAATATAGTTAATTATTCCTAAAATATAATGTTTA